ACCTCTGTCTCAAAGGATCGATGATCCTCTTCTCAAATTGAAGACACTCACTGTAAAAGCACACTGAGTTGGACCACATGAAATGTTTTAAGAAGTGACTACACATTTAGAAGCACGTTAATATGAGAAGTTCAGCACAATACTAACAGCTCTTCTTATGGCAATGACATTTTTACTATTTGGTGTATCTTCTTTAATGCCTGCTCTGAAGGCAGCACTGAGGAAATTGTTTCCAGACTTCCAGAAGCTGCAGAAGTCACAGGCCTGACACAGCCAGTCTGGGTACAGGCAGCACTGGAACACATCTGGTGCCAAATGACTGAAAAACCTTAAAAACACCTGGACTACACTGTGCTGCTGATTCACTGTTACTGCTTTCACTATGAAATGAAGGAAAAGTGTGCATTTGTACTGCCACTATTTTGCTTACCTGTTCATTAACTGAGACCAAACCCACTACAGATCACAATTATTATCATGGGTCTCTATTTACTAGTGGCATTTTTTGTATCTTCCACACTGAGCTTTTGGAAAACTGCACTCTCTTTCCTCCCCTTCAAGATTTTTACAGAATTATTTATGGGGTGCTCTGCCCCAGTGCTTTTAGACATTCTGCTGTAAGACTATTGCACATAAATACTTCACCACAAAAGGTAAAACTGTTTACTCTCCATTACAGAGGGAACTCAGACATTCTTGGCACACAACTTTGTTATAAAAATGAAAGCGTCTCATGAGCTTTTATTGTTATTGGCAGAGACATAACACACTGCATGCCTTTTTATGACAATGCATGCTATTTCCTTTTCCATTCATATCCACACAGTCCCATGCAGTAAATATGTTCAGTGAAAAGTTATTATTACAGGTGTTCCTTGCATAATTTCAGCTTCCTTAAGGAAACAGCTACAACTGCATGGCTGACCAGCTGCCTTCAGTTAACTGTGACCTTATCAGAGTAGTTCAAGGCAGGATTTTATGGGGAACAGATCTAATTTGAGTGATGCCTCTGGATCTGTAGCTCTGCAGCTGTGACAGTCAACTGTTTGCCTGGTCATGTTTTAAAGCAGCTCTGTGAAATTACCCAACCAAAAAAAAAAAAAAAAAAACACCATAGAAAATCTGCCCACAAGCTCTAGCCTTGGAGGCAGCCACAATGAAAAGCTTCCGACATTGCGTGGCTGGGCTGAGAGCTGTCACTGAAGAGATCTGGGCCTGCCCAGCCTGGAAAAGACTGAGAGGGGATCTTATCAGTACATACAAAAATCTGAACAGAAGGTATCAACAGGATGGGGTCACACTGCTTTCTGTAGTGATCTGGCAGCGGGCCTAAACCTGAGCACAGGAAGTTTCATCAGCACGAGAGAAAAACTTCCTCACTGTGAGGGTAACAGAGCACCAGAACAGGCTGCCAGAGAGGTGATGGAGTCGTCTTCTCTGGAGATACAGAAAGCCTGTCTTGATGCGACCTTGGGCAAGGTGCTCCAGCTGGCTCTGCCTGGACCAAGGGAGGCTGGACTGTAGAATCCCAAGGGGCTCCTTTCCAACTTCCATCACTCTGGGAAATCACTATATAAAGGCATGTTAAAAATGAAGTAGGCTGTGCACCAAAATCTGTTCATACTTGGATTGTAGGCAGGCTAAGCACTGAGCTGACTCAACATGATCACATTGATAATCTTCCATTCAAGTAAAATCCAGCTCTGAAAACTCAGGACAACTAAAGATGCTGAGGTTTTAATGTGGAATTTTCTTCATTTAGCACAATTTCAAGTTTCACTTGTGCCTACGAAGGACTGACTCCCTGTTCCCATACACCTAACCTGCCCTTCCTCCAGTGTCCCAGGAACCACATCATTTCCTGCATGGCAATCCAGCTACAAAATATTTTCTTCATTAAAGCAACGAGCTAAAAATACTTGAGAAAAGTTTGATGAAAATTATACTTCCTTTGGTAGAACCGTCAGGGAAATACTACTCCGAGTAAGGTCTTTCAAATCCCATTTGGCCCTGAATCTAAATTCTGTTCAGGAAGGAAAAAAAGCTTTTTTAAAGTGTTAGATCAAATAGTACGTAATGAAGAATTGCCCCATTGAGACAGTGTTTCAAAAGACAAACATCCCCCCTCCAGTTATTAGCTTTTTAATCTTGCCACTTTCATTTCACTGAGGACTAAACCACACTGTTTAAATCAGTGTCTCAAAACATGAAGCAGACGGGACATGAGGAAATAACCCAGTGAACCATCCAATTCTAAAACACAAACATTTCCTGAAGAAACTTCATTCTGAAGTCTCTTGAAGACTTCAGAAGATCTTCCCCATGTCTAATTTAAGCAATCTATTGAAAGGCTCTTCAGTTTCCAGGAGGGATGGGAAATATCAAGATTCTGGTCCAAATGCTGAGGTGTTTTTATGTCAGTATAAGCCACTTATAAATCTCTCTCAAACTGGTTACTTCTGCAAGTTAATCACTTACCATTACCCCACTGGGAGAATAGTAATTAGTGCTGTTCAAATGCTCAGACTCATGCATATCCTTAATAAATCTTAAGGGTCAGAGTAGACAGTTATCTACTTGCATGACCAACTTTGAAAGCATCAAATATTATTAAAACAGCACATTTAAAAAAAAAAAAAATCTTCTATGTTGTCAGATGTGTAAAAAAAGCACGGAAATATTATAGGAGTTGTATAATTTTTGCTACTCTAAAGTAAAGAATTACTCATAATTTCTCTTCAAGTGTTTCATATTTGCCCTCAAGCTCTAATTCTGAAGCCAGTTCTGTTAAATCTCATGCATGTGTGTGCACTTGTGTCAGCAAACACTATTCCAAGAAGAGTCCAGAGGCCTCCTGGATCCACTTGCCTTCCATCCATCCACCCATCCAGGCCTTATCAGCATGCAACAAAAAGCAGATCTAGACGTGCCCTGCAGCATACTAAGCCACTCAGCCTGCTGCTAGCACACTAACCGTTGTGGCACACACATACTGAGTCCTGCATTCTCCCAGCTGTTCTGCAGCTGCACCTGGGGCCATGCTTGTGCATCCATCAGCTCCCTGGATGGACAGAGAAGTCTTGAAAGCAACCTCGGGGCATCACAGTGAAGACTGTCCAGAGGGAACCTGTATGACTTCTTGCAGTAATAATGCTAAACACATGACTGGCCTATGGGAAACGCTTTGCCTCAGGTCTAGCTTCTAAACTCTGTTTCCTTCCCAAAGCAGTTACGGGACCTGTGCTTAGATTCTCAGCAACAAGTTACAAAGAAAACAGAACAGAAAAAAAAAAAAAAAAAGGAAAGAAAAAAAAAGATGTAGAAGACTACTACTTCTGTCCTAATACACATTCATCAGCTAAATTTCGCAGGGAAATATCTCAAGGTGATTCAGGACCTTGGGAGCTCCATGTTCCCACTCAAAATACTTCCTCCACTTTTAAAATGTTTAACTCCCATGGCAATATTTATTTATACGATATGCTTAATTGGAGAAACATCCTCAAATCTGAGACGATGATCCCAAGTTCATCCATAATTTCTCACGAGATGTAATGCATTCTGAAACAATAAGTTTCACGCTACATAGCAACTGAACTGAACTAAGATGCTGGTTTATGAACGCAGTCACACAATTTACCAAAATCTTTAGTGTGATAGTTACAAGCATTAGTAGCTCTATTGATCCAATATGCTAGAACCACAAGATGGCCTAGAAGGGACCTTAAAGCCCACACACTACCAAATCCCTGTTGCAGGCTAGTTGCCCCATACCAAATCAGGCTGCCCAGGGCCCCATCCAACCTGGCCTTGAGAACCTTCAGGGATGGGGCAGCACTCACAGTTCATTATTAATACTTGAAAGCATTCCTTTGAAAAGTTATTGCAATTATTAGTGACTGCCTTAGTGTCTAACTGGACTTGTATTAAGACTAGATTAAGGTTTTAAGATTCCTTGCATTATGGAGCATGTGTAAAGAAGGGCAATGAAGCTGTAAAGGATCTGGAACTCAAGTCTTATGAGGAGTGACTGAGAGATCTGGGGTTATTCAACCTGGAGGAGGCTCAGGAGAGATCTTGTCATTCTCTACCATAACCCGAAAAGAGTTTGTAGCAAGGTGGGGGTTAGCCTCAGCTGCAAGGTAACAGCAACGGGACAAGAGGTGATGGGCTTAAATTCTGCCAGGGGAGGTTCAGGTTGGATATCAGGGAAAACATCTCAGGAAGACTGGCAGCGCATTGGCACAGGCTGCCCGGGGTGGGGTGGAGTCACTGTCCCTGGAGATGTTCAAGAAAAGGGCAGATGTGGCACTGACTGACACAGTGCAGAGCAATAACAGGCAAGGGCTGCTGGCTGGACTAGATGACCTTAGTGGTCCTTCCAACCTCAATGATTCTGTGATTATGCATACACATAAACAAGCCTCACTAAAGCCCTCACGGACTCGCACTACGCAGCGGCTCTCCGAACCGGTTAAACAACGCTATTCTCCAGGATAACAACGGGGCGGGAATACCGGCCCCATGACACGGCGCTTCCCAACGCTGAACGGAACGGACCGAGAGGCGCCGCGAACCCGGGTCCCAGCGCCGAACCTGGGGCAGCGCCGTGAGGGGGCAGCGCTACCGCCACCCGACACTCCCGCGGGCAACTCCCGGCGCCGGGGGATCTTGTGTCGCTTATCGCGAAGGGTCAGCTGTTTTTATTTATAGAGCCGGGCTTTTTCTTTCCGAGTGGCATTTTCATGCGCCGCCCGGGAGGGAGGTGGGGGCGGGGAGGGGGGGAGAGGGGCACGGCGCTGCCCACCCCGCAGGCCGAGGGAGAAGGAACGGGGAGAGGGGAAAGAGCGGGAAGGGGAACGGGAGCGGGCGAGGAAGCAAAGCAACAGCGGGAAGCGGAGCGGAGCGGCGTGGGGCAACGTACAGAGGAGAGAGCGGGGAAAGCAGCGGGGAGCGAAGGGTGAAGAGCGCACGGGGGAGCGGCGGGCACAGCCACCCACCTGGCAGCGGCACACGATGTCCGACTCGGTGGCCAGCAGGTCCACCACCTTCCCCTTGCCTTCGTCCCCCCACTGCGCCCCCAGCACCACCGTCACTTTGTTACCGCCCGGCTCGCTGCGTGCCCGCTTCAGCCCGCCTCCGGCGCCGGGGTGGCTGGTGCGATCGTTGGACGCCCGGGTGCCCGACATGGTGCCGGCAGTGTGGCCGCAGCCGTCGCCTCGCTCTGCCTCGCCCGCCCCCCGCCGAGCCCGGCCCCTGCGCGCTCCCCGCGTCGCGCCGCCGCCTCCGGCCTTTAACGGCGCCGCCGCCGCCCGCCCTCCCCGCGCGGCGCGCTGACGTGCGAGCCCGGCCGCCCCGCCAGCCCGCCGCTCCCGCGCTTCCTCAGTCTCCCGAGTCCCTCCCCGTGCACGCACCGAGCGCTGAGGCGCGCCGCTCTGCCGAACGCGTGCCTGCGTGCCCCTCGCATACACATAGCTGGGGCTGCGGCACCGACGGACGGACTTTGGCCGGGATCACGTGGGGCTGCGAGGCACACCACGGGAGCGTGCGGCGATCGCCGTGTGTCGGCCAGACGTGGGGCTGTGGCACCGGGGTACGACGCGCTCATCTGAGGTACATCTCGGGACACCGGAGTCCCGAGAGCGTGTGGCTGTCGCCGTGAGGCGCACGCAGCGCTCTGAGCTGCGTGAGGTCGGAGGCACGCAGGGCTGTGTTACTTGGAGGCACGCACAGGCCTGAGCAACGTGCTGAGACATGAGGGTGCCTCGTTCCTGGAGGAAGGAGGGCAGCCTGGCCTGGTGGGGGATCAGCGCGCGTGGAGCCGTGGAGCTGTGTCCCGTACCGCAAGGCTGTCAGCAGGACAGGCACGCAGACTGCTGCAATACACAGGTACACACGCTGACCTGAGAAATGCAGCCTGCTGCACTTTGACAGACACACACGCCTAAAATATCCACGCCTGTTGACACTGACAGGCACATGCCCTGCTCTGGCAGCCTGTGACACCTGAGACTTGTAGTGACATGCAACCGCACACGCTCGCACACTGACCTGAAAGAACACGGGGCCGTCACTGAGACCAGCATAGACCATACGTTTAAAGAGGAAAAAAGACTGGGACACTCAGGTGCTGAAAAATAAAATGGCAACAGTATGTGTAACCCATTTCAAACACGTGTATGTGTGCTCTGTGTGTGTGTGCACATGCAGCTTAGATGTGCATGTGTGAATTCACGTATGCGCACGTATAGAAGTGGATAGAATATATTGCAGCCTCCAGCACTTCCTAAGCATTCATGGTGACAGAGCAGGCATTTCTCTGCTCTACTTCATTTCTGGCTTTTGCAATATTTTCTCAAGGAAAAGGAAGGAGGGAAGATGTGACACTGTGCTCCAGCTCAGCATCTGGCATTGATCAGCAAAGGTGATAAACACAAGAGGAGATTGGAAGCAATCTCCTGATGTTTGGGTCTACTTTCCCTGGTGATTGCTGTCAACCAAATCATACAACACTTTGCTGTTTCTTCTGAACACCTGTTGCAGAGCTGTTCTAGTTAGAAACGTCAGCTGATTTCTAGCCTTCTGGCTAATTTATGTCCATATGTTCTGTGCTAACACTGTCATTTAGTTTAAATACTTCATTTTTCACGTATGTATTTATAGAAGGAATCACACCCAGTTTCTGCCTTTGTTTTGCTGGGCTGTAAAAGGTAGATTTTAGATGGCTCTCGATTCCTTGGTCGTTTTCATCTGCCTGCCAGGCACCTGTTTTGAACTCAGTTCATATTTGTTAAGCATGGGTGGCTTGAATTGTACACTGTGGTCCATATGAAGTTCCCTAGCCTGCACAGGAACTAATGTTTTCTCCTTTCAGCTGGAAATACCTCACCTAAGTCATTCCTGGACATGTCAGGTTTCACAGACATGATGAAAGTTGGCTCCTCTCCCAGACTTCTCCACACACTGAAGAACTGCTACCTCTTTCTGCCATTTGCATTTCACATGCAAGATGCAGCTACTTGACATTTCATATATGGGCTGTTCCTGCTGTGCAAAAGGAATTCTTCTTACTGACTTAAACTTCTCTTTTCTTAAAGCCCTCTTCATAATTGTACCACATTGAATAGCTTAGTGAAATATATGACTACCTGCATTTGTTTTGTCTCAGTGGATGGCAAAAGAAGAATTGCCAGCATGATCTCATGATCTGTTTCAACTTTTGCTCATCCTTTTTGTGTTTTATCCCAGTTTTGTTCCCCTCCAGTCCTTTTTTTTTTTTTTTCCCAGTGTCACCTCACCGAGCCATAATTATTTGTCAGACATTACATTTATTCTTGTTTGTATGGTTTGTAAACATGAGCACTGAGGACAGCAAAACCACAGCAGTGCTGTCACTCGTTTGTCACATACTCTAATTCTCTTTGAAACTGATGGCTTGTTAATCAGCTCCACACATCTAGAATATAAAAATACCCTTTGCTACAAGAAATACATATTGCTGGTGCTGTCCTTCTGCATGAGAACCTGTACAGAGCTCTACTACAAAGTCAGAGAGGGTTCCAGAGCTATCCCTATTATTTGTATAGCAATTAACTTTGCCATTGTTGCATGGCTTTTTTTCTCTTTTTATCTTACCATCTAATCAATACTGTAGGAACTCGTATTTTTTTCCTGAGTAATTTCATTGCTGTTCTTTTGTTGGGTTGTTGGTTACGATCGGGTTTTTGTTGTTTTAAGCAGTGATGAAGAATTTTTTATGCTCTTTGGCACTTCTGTAATCATATCGACTATATTTCTGATGGGCTCAGAAACTGAGAAGTTGAATGTTCTTCCCAGTGTCAGCAGTGTTAAAAATACCATGTCTAGGAACTGTTTCATATGAAAACAGTACAGAACATGTTATGAGCAAACTAACCTAGCAGGGGAGCAAATCTTTAGTAACGGTTTAAGACATGTTACTCAGCATAGAAGCAATACGAAGCAGTGGGTCACTGGTGCTAGGTCTTAACGAAGAAGGTAATGAACCATTAGCTCAGGAATTGGTATCAGGATTTCAGGAGAACTGTCTCTTCCTGGGAGCTCATCAGTTAGGACCTGCCTACCTGACAACACTTCACTTAGGGATTTCATAAGAAAAACTTTCAAAGTTCTGCTTACTCAGATAAAAAACGTAATGCTTTTAACTTCTAGCTGAGTATGCCCACCATTAAAACAATGCACTTAATATTTACTGCAGAGTACATTAATCAAAATCATTGTTTTTACCACTTTTTTTCTCGCCCTGATAAAAACAGTATGATGGTGCAAAAGCATGTGAAGAACTATACTTTGAGAGTAGTGAATAATTTATCTGGACCAAGTGCAGATCAAATTGCAAAGGCTCTACATGTGGTTCAGATTTTCTTCTGTCTTTTCATGAAAGACTTGGAGTGTGCAATAGAGAGTGCACTTATTGAATCTGCAGATGGTACAAAGCTGGAGGCAGTGAGATTGCAGCAAGAGAACAAGGGGCAGCAGGCAGAAACCAGAACACAGGAAGTTCCATAATAACCCAAGAAAGAACGTCTTTGCTGTCAGCTTGATGAAGCACTGGAACAGGCTGCCCAGAGAGACTGTGGAGTCTCCTTCTCTGGAGAAGCTCAAGACCCATCTGGACACCTATCTGTGCAACCTATTGTAGGGAACCTGCTGTAGCAGGGCTTGAACTCGATGATCTCTAGAGATCCCTTCCAACCCCTATAATTCTGTGGTTCTGTAAGATCACACTGGAGACCAGGATGCTTCTCTGCACAGGAGTCAAAATAGTGTCTGTTTGTAAAAGAAGGCTAACACCACGCTGAGATGGAAGAACAAGCAATAAAATAGAGGAAGATGTCCTTTGCCCTGCTGAACCATCCAGCTGGAGACTCCGCTGAAGAAAATCAAGAAGAGATTCACAAGTACATTACACAGATTTGGAAAACAAGCCCTAGGATGAAAATCTGTAAGGGCTGGGGTTGTTTAGTCTAGGAAAAAGAAGACCAGAGGTGCTGCGATAACAGCTACAAAATATGTAAAGGGTTACTGCAGACAGATGGACAGGATGAAATGAAAAGGGCTTGTATCTTTTATTCTGTTTGATCTGAGTAACACATACAGATTTTAAGGCATATAAAGCTATATTAAGCTTGAAGCTGTGAAAAAGGCCAGCTTTGCTCCAATACTGCTAACACTGGAGCTGATTCACACTCTTGTACAGCAATGCTTTGTCCAGACTGTGGAGTTCCTTTGTGCTTGGGCAGTTTTAAGAACACATTTGGCAAAAATGATTCGGTGTGAACCCTGAAACTAACTTCAGTAACGTGCTGAATCTCAGTGCTGTAGGTCTCCTCTGAAGCCTTTTGCCCAGACACTCAAAAAGTACTTCTGAGAGTGGATGCTTTTACTACTGCAAGACCAATTAATGATGATGTTTTTTGATCATATATCAGATTGTTACAATCAAATAATTAAGTCCTCTGTAAGTAAAGACAATAAGAAGTTTGCCAGAGAAAAGCTCTTATATTTAACCCTGCATATAAGAACGTAAGACATTGGGCTCGAGGTCTGCATTTGCAACTGATTTCTATATGTAAAGGTGATAATTATGTTGTAAAACTCCAGTGCCATTCATGAAAACTTACTTGTTTTTTGTCTTTTAATAACATTTCCCACTCCGCTGTGGTTACAGCGTCACAGTTACATACATAAGTTCTCACCAGATGTTTAACATAACCTACTCTGCATGTTTTCATATTTTGGCCCCAAGGGCTTTTGCTCTGTTTCTTGTTCTGATCAGTAGCCATGTCCCCAAACTTGCATTAGAAGCAGCTGTTTTTTTCCCTTTGATTAATTAAAAATTCCAGTGCTTTCTGGGGAAATAATATAAAGCAGTGCTGTTTGCATGTATCTGTTACAATTCTGAAGAATGTAAGCGTCCAATGACAGAGGCTTCTGTAACAGAAGCTGTAGAAAGTAAAGCTGTTTTTAATACGTGCAGTCAAGTAGTTCCGAGATCTGTTCTCTAAGTCGTGCCATACATTGGAGTTTTGGTAACTATTCAGACTGGTTTCTGGCTCTTTTGAGCAGCTGCAAGCCTTTGCTTGTGATCTATTAATAATACATCAATGACATTTGCTTCTGCTTTCATATCTTCTTTTTGAACTAGAGAGAGCGAGATTACGGCCTGCACTGAGACCTTGCTGCTGTGTGCTTCCCCTGGCATGTCTGTCAACTGCAGAGAAACGATCCTCAGACAACTGGATAAACCAGACATTGACACTAACAGAGCATGTGACTGGAGTTAAGGTCAGAGATTAGGAGAGCGTGGGATTGGGGCCTCAAAGATTTATGCACAGGGGTTACAAGGGACATAACAAAATTAAAGGTTTGTGTTATTTCACACAGTACCAGGCCTTCTATTTCACTAAATTTTCTATACTCTCCTTCAGCAAATAGTTATTTCATTTGCTAAGTATGTGATTAAAAAAAAAATAAAATAAAATTGCACATAGGCTAAAGAATCTGATCTCCAGCCCTCTGCCACATCTGATCCTGATAGATAAAACAAGATTGCAAAAATGCCTGATTCTCATCGTCCCCTGTACTCAGCACAATTTTCTAAAACGAATACTGAATAAATTTACATCCCAAGAAAAAAAATTACCTTTCAAAAGAGACTGAAAACTACGACACTTCCAACTAAACTGTATAGTAAAAGTGTATTCTGGTCTGGTGCTCTTATTTTTCATAGGGTTGGCACATACCTTTAACTCTTACATCTGAATGTTGCTTTATAATTGTATTTTACCACATATTAAGTTGCTTGTCTGTATTTACATCAGAAAAGGTTTATTATTTGAATCCGCAGCTTTACAGTAGTTATGCAAAGTAGATAAAACATTTGCCGTACAGCTTGTCAAGACAATATGGAAAACATTGTTTTGGTCAGTTTTCAATGTATTTGCACATATTTTTAAAATGCATTTCTAAAGATGAGTAGTTTTGATGGAGAAACTAAAAGAAGGCCATGTAGTTAGACAGCAGGGAGAAAGGAAAACAGTCTTCCAAGGGGTGAGCATCCAGTGCAATATTTATGTGAACTCCTCTCAAGTTTACTAATGCCAGTTTTGCAGTAGTTCACTGAAGAATAAAGAATCACAACTAAATGGTACCAAGCAGAAATCTTTAAGAAAACTGCAGGTCAACTATTGACCAAGATATAATGTTAAAATACATACCTGTTAATATTAACACTAGAAATACCTCACACCCAGCTCAACAAAAGCTTTTCTGGATTTACATCAGACTGCTGTTTTTCAGCAAGTCATACAATTAAAGTGCACACGCAACCACTTAAAGGAAGCAGAACTTCAGTCAGAAAAAAGGGAAGGTTGAGGTAACAGTGATACATAGCACAGCTTGCCTGGCTCAGTGACAGTGTGGCAGTTTGAAGTTCACGTTTGCCTACCTCATTGTGTTCCCTAAAAGCCTTCAAACAGCTGTTCAGAGCAATACCAGTATATTACCCAACTTTAAGAAAAATAGAGTAACGTGCTCACTGGGAGTTATATTTTTTGTAGCATTTCTGTCATGATTTCTTCTGATCATTCATGAGCCCTTGAAAATGGATGTTTTACTAAACTTTCTGTTTAACAATAGCATCAACAATGGCTACATCAGTCTTACTCTGATAGATCACCCACAGCTAAGCACATAATCTACTTCTAATTAATAAAAATATGACTAATAAAAACAGAATCATTTTTTTCTAAATATACTGCTCTTTCCATGCTCTGCCTTTAGCCTTTTCGTGTCTTCTACTTTGAGTTCTTTCTTCCTTTTCTCAGACTTTGCAGCTTGCTCCTTCCTTTCTTGGTTTTCCTGCGTTGAGATAGAATGACAAGAAAATTAAATATGAAGGGTTACAAGAGGAAAAGCCAGTTAGTATACTCTGTTTGCAATTAACAACTATTCTAAATATGCCCTATATACACTTACAATGACATTGCTCAGCTGCTGGGGTTTGAGGGTAATTAACACAACCGAGCTTCTTGGTCAATGCTTTCTCCAGTTTATGTTATCAGCAAATGAGTTCATAGCTTTAACTGCAACAATTCAAACACAGACTGAAATACATTCTTCTTAATGAATCTTTTTGCCTACAAGACTCAACATTTGTTCAGTTTAATTACATTCTAGATATTTATCCCACAGCAACCTTGGTTTTATATTGTTTGTACTCAGAGACTTCTACCAGAAATTCCAACCGTGTTAAACAGTAATTCAGTTTTACTTCAGGCATCCTTTAAATTTGCCCACTATATTTATGTGGTGGTGTTCAGCAGCAGAGTCCAAACCATATGGCTGGTACTGAGAGGCATCCAACCGTCAGGATGGTATAAATCTTTGGGCCTGTTGCAGACAGGTTGTATTCTGGTTTCCATAGAACTTCTGGATCCAGGACGATAAAATTAATGTAGGAAAAGAAAGATGTTGAATGATTACTTCTAGTACAGAAAGACCTTTACTCAATGGAGAAGTATTTCTGGGTTTTGACAGACAGCATAATCATAGGGGAGAATAGTTCTGATCAGCTACACTAAGTACAATGGGACATCAAGATGAGAAAAAGCCATTTACTTAAATGCTTGTGGAATCCTTGTTCCAGAACTACAATCATCATCAGAACGCTGCCTTCACCACCTGGGAGCTCACCTGCTTTTAATTGCAACCAGTCCATAGCTAATCTACATGTAGGTATCTCAGTAGTTGTTGGGTTGTTGTCGTAGAGACTTGTACTGCTTTATCATATCACAAAATTTACTAATGTCCTGGAAGATGATGATGGGTGCAAATAAGATTCTCAGTGAGACACATCTGGTCTCCTTTGCAGGGAGCTTAGCAGCAGAAAAGACTTTTTCTCATAGTACTGATAGATACAGTTAATAGCTGCAGATCACCTGCCACTATTTCTATGAGCCAGACAAAAGTCCCAGGAAATGTGCATAATTTCCTCAGATCTTTTACAGAAGGTAAAAGCTGGGATCATTTCTTCCACAAAACTATTAGACCAGTTAGTCTAAAAGTGTTCCAGTTGGGAACACTGCAGGTTCAAGGTTATGGGGACCTCTTCTGGATGCCAAAAAAAAAAAAAAAAAAAACAAAAAAAACAAAAACCAACAAACAGTGCTTTCTTGGCAAAGAAATAAAAAGACATTTGTCCTGAGAAGAAAGTGCTTCCAAAAGAAAGATGCAGTTGGTGAACTTTTAGGGTGAGGGTAAAAGCCTTTCATCTTTGTATGCCTCCTACGTGCCTGCCTGATAAATTCCTGCTGTGCCTTAGCATAATGTCTTAGAGATCTTATGGTGGCTGAGAGACTTGGAGATCTACAGGCCCTGGGAGAATGCCTACATGTAACACACCACAAGAAATAAAGGAGATCAGTTCAGGGTAGATACGTTGTCTAGCTATTTGAGCAGCACACACTGTACCAAATAGAAACCAAAACACTTCAGGAAAAAAAATATGGATTGAGCAAGCCTAAACTGAATTGTACAGAGAAATTAAAAACAAAGCCATAGAGATCTGACACAAATATGCTGTTAGCAGCGTTACTTCAACACAAGAAAGTCCACTTAGGCAGAGGAATGAATGTTCACAATCCTTTCTCCATCTCCTGGATTACTGAAGACAGCTGTATGGATGATATTAAATAAAAAGGGTTTCCCTTTGGATTTACACTATGAGATGTCAGATACATATCTGATCTCTGAATTTGAAGATGCTACATTGACAACTCTATATCCTCACACTATCTAAAGCACATCCTGTTCCAACACCCTACTGAGGAGCAGCTGTTTCAGCTTGGTTATCTGGGAGCACTCGGAACCTATCCTCATGCAGAGCTGTTGGTGTAATCTTTGTAATGATCTGGGTACTTCTTAGAGCAGATTTGGTTTAACTTTTCTTCTCCTTTTCCTGAAATTGAATGGCTTCTTTGTAGGGAGCTTCCCTCTTTGAACAGCTGCAAGAGCTAAGAGAAATCAAATGTTTCTCCCAGCCCTCCATAATCAAACTGTTTCGTTCTCCCCATAATTTTACAACTCAGTTCTCAGTGTAGCTTCAATTCTGAGTTTTATCTTTGAGCAGAATGAAAATAGTCTCCCTGTCTCCTTCTTCCTGCCATCTGCTCCTTTTATGTTTTGAGAAGTAGGGAACATTCAGCCCTGTGTGAAGACCTGCTCCTTTCCATTGTGTCAGTTGTGGTGTTTGAAACACTTTTTTTCCCCCTCTTTAAGTAGATGGAGATCAAGTAGTTTCATATTATCAATTTCCTATGTGTTACTCTGTTCGTTATCTGATGGATAACAAAGAGCCCTCAGGGAATGAAGAAGCACTTTGTTTGAAAATAATAATAACAAAAAATTTCCAGACTGCCTGGGGCACTATCACTTTGCTTCTGAGCCTGGTGGTGGCATTGCTTGTAAAACTGAAGCCCAGTGTCTCATAGAGGAGCAGGTTGTAGAAACATGAAGATAATCTTCTCCATCCTTTGCCTTCAGACACTACTTAGAAGCTCTCTCACTTTCACCAGAAGCTCTGATTTGCCCTGAAGGACCTCTCACTCTCTCTTGCCCTGCCTTTGCCCAGAACAGATATTTCTCTATTTTGGCAATACTTGTTGAAGGCAATTCCATCCTTGGGCTCTGCTGGAGTCAGTAAAGCACGTATATGAAGCCACTGTCATCTGGCATTAAGAAATCCTTAGACAAAATGCATTAATTCAGATACTGCATAATCAGTATGTTATGCAAACCTTTATGGTGAATTTGCTGTTTTCTTACCTCTTAATGCAAGGAACGAGACCCTGTAAGCCAATGGAGTGCCAAATGTAATCTCTTAGGGAAAACAGCGTTGTAGTGGACATAAAGCTTGTAGGTTTGAACTAATGCAGTAAAATGCCAACATGTAAACATATTATCCAGTTAGACTTTGCCTAAGAAAAGTTATCCATTTCTAAACAGTCACAAATGCAAACCACCTGCAAGGCCTTGAGGAAGAGCTCCCTGAAGGTTTTCATTGTGTTAAATACATCTTCCAAGGACATTTTTTTTCGGTCTTCACAAAGATAGTCAGCTAGTTCTTCTTTCTTCTTTTCAATGTTGGCCAACTCCTCCTGCAGGTCCTTTGAAGCACTGACACTGCTCTGAGACACAGTTTGCAACAAATTTATGCACATTAAGTGATACATTTTGAGCTGCCCAGAATTGTAGAATCATTGGAAAAGACCATCTAGTCCAACCCAGTTAAGAGCAGGTTTGATAAACCTGACAATTAAGATTCAGTGACAGCATGCTACGTTTTCTTAACTGAACCACATGCATTTCCCCCAGTTCCATTTGGACCGGGGCAGCTCATTGTATGCTGCCACTTTTATCATGTAACCAGGCAAAAATTTGGCACAAACTGGGATGACTTATCTAGGGATACACAGAACCAGAATTTACCCCTTTTAGTTTTAGTTACATAGGCCTGTTTTGAGAAGTTTTAAAGCTAGGATGTCTGGAAATAAACACATAAAAACATACTGTAAATCTGTTCACTCCTTTTTTTTTCCCCTAAGAGCATTGAGACAGAACATGTTACTGTCCCATATATATTTATAGCTGGATCACAAGTTTCATTTTTAGCGTCTTCCTTTCTTTTGCCCACACACATAGCTGACTGCCCCTCAGCTGTTTCCTTATCACAGTGTCACTTTGCAGAATTGGAGAATAAACAGGACTCTTCCTCCACCCCAGTGCAGAGGGAGGTTGTTAGGACCCCTGCCCACAGACCCCTGTGTCCATCACAAGCTGAATTTTGGAGCCTTTGAGAAGAGATTTAAAGTGATTGGGAAGCAGGATGCAAAGAACCTCGTGCCCCCTTTACCTACTTGAACAAGTTTTGTGTGCTGTATTTTTAAATCCTCTGTTGACAAAAATAAACGCTTCTCTATTTCCAGCAGTTTCTTCAGATTGTCACCTGCTTCAGCCCGCATAGCGTCAAAGTGGAACCTGAAAGGCTCACAAAAGGCACAATGAAAATAAAGGGGTGAGTCTTTAGGTTTTTTTTTTTTTCATTTAAAAACAATTATAAAAACAGCTCTGCAAAAGAATGCAGGATTAGTTGTCTAGCAAACCCTGCTTATGCAGGTAATTTTCCTCTATGTAAGCCCTTTTCTCTGCTGCTCAAACCCTCATCTGAGAAAACAGTGCTTCTGCCCTCACCATTTCCTGGGACAGCACAGGGAAGAACCTCTCTGTTCAAAAGCCTCCAAAATTTTCAGTCTATTTTTATTCATAGGCAACACACACTCAACTCTCGTGCCAGTACTGTCAACAATTAAATGGTTCTTTTCCTTGCTGTTTTTCTCCATCGTCTATTTATAGTCTGAAGGGTTATCTCAAAGTTCATTTACCTCACATGGAGGACCAAACATATTGCAGTGCAAACATGTTTTATACCTCAAATATCCACATTTACCAAAAGAAAATCACTGATTCATCAAAACCTGATGTTGTCTAACAAGGTGCATCCAGATATGAACAGCAATAGAAGAGCCCTATGCAGGATTTGCACTGTAAGCACCTCTCCCAGGGCTGACTAATAAAACAATTTTATAAGCTTGGGGGTTTGGCTAAATTTAAGAGCAATTACTTTACAAAAAAAGACCACATTTATTGCATCAGCAAGGTTTAGATTCAGATAACAAAAATACCTCTATTATTGCACATAGAAAAAAGAAATTTGTGCTTCAGAACAACATCCAACATAAATTCTGCACAGATAACAAGGAAAAGCCCTGACACTTCGTATATTAGTGCTTCCTGCATAATCAAATCAAAATACTTCTACCTTATTATTTAGCAGCTACTTAACAATGTCAATTTACCCCAGATTTACAAGTTACACTTGCTTCTAGTTACAAAGAAGATTAAAACACTTTGAGGTTCCTATGAATTCATAACAAGATTAGAACTGTTAATCCTGCTGCTATACATCTGCATTTTGATTAGTGCAATTCAGCATGTCCCTCACGTGATTCTTCTGAGCTAAACAAATTCAGCTGGCTTTAGGCTCACCAAAACCAGACTTTTTTTCTTTTCACCCACTTGTACTGTAGAGAAGTGCTGATATTTAACTCAGGTCCCTGCTTGCTAGTAAACTGCCCCATTCTGTTTTCACTCCAGCTTTGCACACATAGTCCTTATGGCCCGGCATAAGAGTATGATGGAGCAACTTCAGGAAATATTTATTTTACAATATATAGAAGAATACGATCCTTGAAATCAAGTTCACTATTTACTTAGTTTCATTTCTAAGGCAGTAGTGGAGCATCTAAAAGAAGAATCACACAGAGCAACACATGAAAAGTTGTAACCAGGTTGATTTACAAATCTCAGAACTGTTTGATTTTAGAAGGGAAACGCTCTCACACACCAGAGAAATCCTGTGACCTTATTACACCACCATAAAATGACTCAGCTTGTTGTTAGCTTAAAAGAGGCAATTCATACACGACAAAAACAAATAATGTCCTACCCTGCTGCCTTGGAAACAAAGTCAAGATCTCTGGGAAGCTGCAGCAGGTCATTGTGGTTTTTTTCAACCTCCTAAAATTGAAGTAAAAAATCATTACCTTTCACTGTTTGTCAAAGGGCAGGAAAGTCTTTCAAGCTGGACAATATCTGGATTGAAAAATGAATGCTTCAGTTTTTGTCCTTATAAGTGCTGGGGTAAGTTTAGCCTTGTTCATTTCTTTCTGTCACAGTTGGCAGCCGTAGGGAGGAAAGAAGAAGGAAAAAAAGGCTCTTAACTGCTCAGGCTTACATCCCATGTGCTGCCACAGCACGCAAGCTGACCTGAGATTTTGTCTTCATAACACTAAAATTAACCTCATCTGACAGATGCATTTGGAAGGCACGTCCCCATGAGAGAGCAGTTGCAGAAGAAAAAGAAAACACAAAGCAGTCATGTTAAGCAAACCTGAGGAAGAAAGCTAACACTAGGTTTTCTACGCATTGCTGCTAATCGGTTTCATCTTTATTTTTGCCCAGGGAGCGGTGGCAAAGCACTCGTTGTATTTCAGATACAGAGGCTCACTCTTCTGATGTCTGTGGTGGGTACTGCTGAAATTACAGCCCCTTAGCTTCTGGGGAATTAATAGTAGAGAATAACAAACAGAAATTATTTCACAGTTTTGTTCTACCTCCAAAATGTGGTGAAGCAGAGTAATGTGGCTTTGGTTTGCTTTTGTGTCTGTTAGTTTGAGCAAGGCGCTGATTTTAAAACCTCCAGCATCTCCAGTGTGATGCCCCTGGAAGATACAGAAAAAAAGTTCCTTGTGTTTGTATCTTAGGCTATATTTGGAAATAGAGAAATTAATTAAAGAAAAAATATCAGCCTACTTACATAGTTGAGAAAGTTTCCAACTTTAAGAATCAACTGACAGAAAACCGGCAGTCGACGACTGGTAAGAAGTGCTGAGGAATAAAAAAGCATTCTCAGTAAATTAAATGGAGCTGTCTGAAGCAGGGCTTTCCTTACATTTGACAGTGAGTTAACAAAATTATCATCCAAGATTGTGTAAATCCTCCTTTATGAATTTGGAAATCAACCAGTACAGAAATAATTCAACTTAATGAAAGTAGAATGAATGAAGTTTCTGTTTTAGTCTCTTTTCTACAAGTATACGGAAAACCAGTTTTTCCCATCAAGTATGGATGTGTCGTCACTGCAGCTGCTTATAAGGGAGACCCACTAAATGAGGCAGTGCTTAAATTGGCAAAAGTTGATAGCCTGCATTTTCAGTACATTTATTCTAGGTTAAGAAAAGCATAGCGGTTTTTTTCTTTGCCTCAATGCCATCCTTTAAGGCATAACTGGTGTTAAAACAAAAACCAAGGCTAATTTTGTGTGAAGGGAGTTTCTGAAATGCTGGTCAACAGGGACATTTGTTTTGGAAGCCAGTACAGACTGTGATGTGTCAACCAGCATGCAACCAGCATGGATGGAAGGAAAACTGGAACCGATTTGTTGTTAGGGACAAAAATCATTGCTGTGGACAAAAATTCAACCTCTACTCAAACAACATCTGGCACTGACACGTAGGAAATTTCCTTCTTCTGTGCAGGGGTCACTGATGGAGAGAGGCAGTGTGTTTTATTTATGTTGACAGAAGCTCCACTTAAAGCACAGCAGCACAAATTGCCATTCTACTGAGTGAACTCTAAGGGGAAGAATCTGTTGTTTTGATTGTTAACTACATTTTCTGCAATTAAAAAGTTAATTTTTATCAGATCATAGCTTATAAAATCACTGATGCCATTTCTAATAGCATCAATATTAGAAGCTTCCCGTGACTGAGCAGTGGCCATAGACACATCTGTGATACACTTACTTTCACAAGCTGTCCTGATGGCTTGTGCTTTTGGCCACAGACACTGCAGAAGAATTTGTGTTTCCTCACAAATCAGCATACATTCAATTCGCAACTGGTAGCTAAAAGAAATCAGCAGGGGAAAAAAAAAAAAAAACAAAAAACAACTATGCACCTAATTAATCAAATTCAGCAGAGAATAACCCATTTTAGGCAAAGTGCAGTACCATCATTGTTATGTTCACTTTAATGTTCTGACACAACATGCTTCTCACTGAACTGCATTATAAATAAACCAAACACTGAGGCATTTCCAAAGATGCCTCTTTCAGAAAGCAATGTTATGCTGAAATCTGGCAGTCGTTTCCTTGCATAACAAGGCAATAAGTTTTGATGATTCCTGGGCAGTGCTAGCTAGGATTTTTGTTCTTCCTTTTTAATTCCAAAATAGAAATTCTGATTCTATTTCAGTGATGCCCTTTAATGATATTTATGCCTAGCCATGGATTAATGTTGTGGAAGACCCATAAAAACATTCTCTAAAGTAATTTTAAAGCTAGCTGTAACTTTGAGAAAAATAAATGCCACCTTTTAACCACTGCATTTTCAAAAAAGGCATCTCAGGCTATGGGACAGGCAGCTCATATTTATGGAGGCCATTCCTATGATTTACAACAAATTACACTGTTTTTAAGAGCAGCACAAAGATATGTATGCATCTCATCTGACTTCATAAAAGTCAGGAAATTCCTGGAAGGTGGTCAAAGCACAAGCAGTGCTGTGATTCACCCTTTGGTTTGTGGGATCCCTTTGGTGTACCAGTCTCTGGAACAGAGATGGAGTGACTAAGATCCTGGTGGCTGGGTTCCGTCTGCAGCTTTGTGTCATGCAGACGGTGCAGCACAACAGTCAGAAGTTTTCTCAGTAGCTTATTAATACCCAGGTTAATTTAACACTAGTTTGCCAACTATGTGTGTTTGACCTTTGGGAAAGAAAGGTTTCTACAGCTAGCTGTTCAATTTGCAGTCAGATTATTTACCTTGAGCACTGACTGTTAGAAACATCCCTCTAGTACAGGAAATGGAGGTGTTCATTCTTACAAGTCAAACTCAAGGATTAAAAACAAAGGCAATTTTGCTTACCTAGGAACCTCCAAGAGATGGAGATAAAACTGGTCTGCATTTGTTAGTTCTGACCTTTCTTCTTTGCAAGATTTCAGTTTGTTTATCTAGCAACAACAGAAACAGCAAAATACCCATAGAGTTATTTCTGGTGCCCAGTGCAGGATCCAGTCACAGTTTCTTGCTCTACCAGTGAAAATATTTCAAGCCAAGCAAGCACAACCAGCTCTGATACGGTAGCAGGCTTCGTAATACCTCATGGCTTTCAGGCAGCAGTTTAAGTAGCTGTTTCAGTATCCCAGCATCAAACCTGGATCTGTCCCCTTTCTGAATCATGTTAGCAATCTCTTCATTGGAGCTGTGAGAAAGAGAGATGCTGTGAGCAGAAGAGACATTGAAGCCTGAAGGAAATTTTCTAACCATTTAGACGTGCTTTCTGAACTTTGTTCCTCTCCACGCAGCAAACCCAGAGGGCTCTCCTCTTACTGCGTCCAACATCACTGAGGAGAGATTTACGCTTGAATCCTTCACCACTTCCAGCAAAGCTCAGGCTAAAAACTGATAGCTCTCCTCCTGCTGACAGATAGTTAAGAGTATCTCAGAGAGCCTTACTCCAAATCTTTGCCTGTAACTTTGGCAGTCCACATGTCTTTGAAATGAGTCCAGACTGCTCTACTTTGGGCTCAGATCTGGCTGTAGGGCAGTTCCATCCGTCATGATAGGGCTCAGCTTGCTGAACCACAGCCACTAACTGCCCTGAGGAGAGCTTCACAACTACCCAGGGAATCGTGCAGAAAGAAGAAATAGCAACTGGGTTAGGTTATTCACAGTTCTTCCCCACTGAGAAGAAGAATTTGTAATGGAAAAAGAATGTGAAAAAATCCTTCAGACAAACTGTGGTTTATTCTCAACATAAAGGCTGAATTTCTTTTCAAAGGCCTTCTAATATGGGCTGTTGCACAAAAAGGCAGGCATCCATGGACTTCATCCTGCAGTATTTCAGAGCATCTGAAAATAATTCTATTTTACTAGGAACTAACACAGATTCCTTTCTTCTGCTTCTTTTCATTCCAGCATGAAGACTGTCACTTACCAGATTTCCATTGATTAATTATAGAAACTCTTTTCTATTAATAGAAAAACCGAACAAAAATTGTGAATGATTTTTGGACCTGAACTTCTCAAGATGTCTCTTTCCAAGTTACTTAATTTTTAATGTTCAGTCAGGAATCTTGACTCCTTGCTAAGAAAAGATAGTGGTTATAAAATGTTCCTGCTACATTTCATTTAATGTCTGAAACATACGTACGTACATCAAACAAATAGGCTTATCTCCAACCTTACCACTTAAATTGCTTCAGAAATATACTCAGAAGGAGACTTTTCTTTGGACTAATGAATGTGACCTGCCAAAGAAAAAAAAAAGAAAAATGCAGCCACCTTCCTTAATTTTAACAGAAATTTTAGAGCTTCTCTTGTTTGTCGGGCCAGATTCACTCTTCTCTAGCAATAACATTATCATCACTCTTAATTGAACAATTTACAAAGCTAACAGTTTACAAAAGTACATGTAATAACATTTGAGAAAGGCAGAGGCATAGAGAAGGGAACAGATTTGTCTAGAATAATGCATTTTTTTAAGAATTGGCACTCTAATTCCCAAGTTCTTCCATTCTAAAGTACTGTACTGTACTCAGAGTTACTGCAACAAATACACTTCTGGACCTCTCCTGTTTCTGTTTCAAGGCAGCTGTAGGCAAAGCATACCAGAATATCTCAGCTTTTCTACTTTGTTATAGAAGATTGCCAACAGTAAAGAGTGAATAAGCTTTTCACATTTGCCAAGCTGTACAAAAAGTGAGCAGTCCAAGTACCTGTTTTGTCTTCTTTGCTGGTCTCGTCTCCTTTGGTTTTGTTGGTGAGGCACAGAAAAGTAGCTCCAGGCTTGCATAGTCAGGCTCTACAAGCTCCTTGCTGCCATTTGGTACCACAGCCCACATGGAGCAGCTTTCTAGAAGAGATCAACACTTCAAGATGGATTAACAGAGAGAGGAGCGCTTTCAGGGCACCATGATAAGTAGAAATAAAACAGAAGGTAAACAAAGCGTGACCGTGGAGGTATTTAAGAGATGAGTGGACGTAGCACTAAGGAACGTAGTTCTGTGTTGGGACTTTGGAGGTCATTTTAATGGATGGATTTGGTGATCTTGAAGCTCTTTTCTAACCTAAATGATTCAGTGACACTCATTAGCCCTGGTCTACTGTTAATTATTGAAGATTTGCATACACCAAAGACAGCCTCCCAAATGTTTGAAGGATAATTAAATCTGGAAGACTATCTCCACATGTGATTCACTAAAATGAAGGCAGCAGATCAACTCAATTGTTCTTTTTACTACTACTACTACTACTGATGGACTACCCAATGCAGAATTGTGAGAGCCACACAGGGGATGTTGCATTAGTTAAATAAACTTAAGTATCTCTGGACAGAAAATAAAAACTCCAAAACCCTGGGTTATTATAGGATCACTAGAAGCCACCTGAATAACACAGCACTTCAAAGTATGAACTTACCTACAACACTGGAATCTTTAACAAAGGATCTCACCTCCTTTTTCTTCAGGAGAGATTGCAATAGTATAACTGAAGATGTTAGATTTGAGGCTGAATTTGGATCATGACCTAGAGAAGACGACTTGAGCCCAAACTGTTTTTAGCATGTGTATTTATATGTTTTATCATAACAGCAAGTTCTTAGCTCTCTGATTTCCCCCTTTCTTTGTGACAATGGAGAACTCTTACAAGATGTATCATGAGTTCTAAAAGCTGCAGCAAAGTGGAAACTTTCAGCATTCTCTTTGCTGAAAGTGGAACAGGCCATGCAAAGCCCTTTGTCAGATCACGTTAACCACAAACCTTAGTGTTATTTTTCATGGAAAAAAAAAAAGGAATTAAAAAAACCACATAGCAGTGGTCAGAACAAAATGAAGTTGGAAGCTATATCCTGCCCTGAGCCTATGTGTTCCTCAGCCCTATTGACAAGGGTTTTCCTGGATGATGCATCTTTCAGCTGTGCAAGGGAAAAACAAAGCAAAAAAGTAGTAAAAGCTTCAGCTGAAACAGCAGTCAGGGATGGCATGCCAGGAGTTCATTAGAAAAAAAGCTCAAAGAATCTCAGGGCATTGCTTTTCCACACATCTTTCCGCTCAGTGCAATTCAGTGTGTTTTGAAAACCGTAATTAAACTTCACAGCATCACCTAACAACATTGTGGAAATTAAGAAAAAGAGAAGAAGACATTTTAGTGGCCAACAGAGCCTCAATTCAGTGCTTTGCCCAAACTATTATTTCGTTCACTTTGTCCAAATTTAGTGAAGAATTTGGCTTTCCCTATCTGTGATTACTAGCTTTTTTTTTTTCCTGTAGGACAGAGGTTGAGCAATAGGAGCACTTGTATGACCTGAGGTGCTGAGCCAAAGCCTAGCTCCCAACATTAGCATCAGCCTGGTTGTTACAAATGGGCACGTACGTCTCACCACGTCAGAGGGGAGCTTCTGCCAGTGAAACACCTTCATCCTTAGCTTCGGTGTCTTCTTAGGGCAGGGCTGCTCGCTGTATCCACAAGTGAAATGGCTGCACTCAGGATTACTGCACAGCTGGGGAGGTGGGAGTGATGGTGCATTTATGCCAGGCATGAGAAGGGGTGGGGGAGGAATCTTACACCTAGGAGGATGGAATGGAGGTGGTGGAAGCAATGGTAGCAGAGCTGGCATAGCAGGCTGCCCTTGGGAAGGTGAGGAGACACCTTGCTGGGGTGGTGACGTGTTCCCTGGACATTGCTGAGGCTTCTTGGAAAGGCTGATTTTTGGAAAAAGAGTCAAATCTATACTAGGATTCTCCACTTCCAAGTCCACGTCAACCTGAATGCATTTGTTCACCTTCTCAACAGATCTTCTGGGTAGTGATTTGCGGTGATTCAGGCACTGTGTGCTTGTTAGCAGGTTCTTCATGCTGTCCCTTGGTTCCATATTGCTGCCCTACGAGACAAGGAGGAAATGCATAAACTAACAAGGTTCCCCACAGCTGTTGGTTACTGCAGCACCTACAGAAAGACAGAGAATTAGCAGTCAACTTCCTATCAAGACAGATAGTATTTTTTTTAATCCACCAGTAGCATTTCACAGTTGTTTCAGCTCTGTGAGTCACTAGCAAGACAGTACTTCTAAGATAAGGCTCATTTGGGTCTTTTGATCCTTCTACTTTCTTGTTCTGACATAGAAAGTTAGGAAGAGCAAGTGCCATGAGCACTATGAATCCCTACCTGGTTGCTTTTTTGGCCCTGTTGCTCAGCCATTCAGTGGAGTTCCTCTTTTGAAGAGGGAAATGAATTCTTCCTGCAGGTGCTGTGCTGTACGCAGGGGACTTCTCAGGCAGCAGGGACAGAGTCACTTATTCCTAAGAGACCATGTTACCACAACTTAGAATGACTGCAGAAGGGTGGGGATTTTGAGAGAAACATTAGCCTAATAAATTAAACAAGCTGCAGCTGAGGAGAACTCAGCTGAACTGCTTAGAGAGTTGTGATCCCCTAGGGAAAGGACTGGGAAGAATAAAAATAAATAATATTGTCTTATTTTACACTTTAACCACATTTTAAGCTAGGGCAACTTTTATTTTTGCCCTGAAATTGTAGAGTTTTTCTCAAAGCTTCTTGTACAGTACTACACAGAAGTCTCTTTACTTGCATGTCTGGTTTTAGACATGGAACTGGACCTGCTAAGGTTAGCAGGGCTACTTGCTGGTTTGTAGTCATATTTTCTTGACTGAATTATTCTTTCTTTAGCAAACAGTTATATATTTTATGCCTAAATAACTTCCTAGGATACTTCCACTTAAGTAACTGAAGTTGCCTTGTGATTTCTCTCTTAATTTCCATAATAAAGGCTAATCAACACTGGTAGAAACACCCCATGTTGATAAGGGAGTAACGAGCAAACCATCAGCATTCCACAAGCGGCACAATTAGAGGCTATATGTAGAAGGAAGCCAAGTCCTCTGTTACCCCAGTCCTTGCACAAGTCTTTAACAAAACAAATTTGAACAGTATAAGCAGTTCTGATGGAGTCAGCTGGATAAACGCTTTCACTTTTACACTCAGCACAGGATCAGTTGGGAAAATACCATGTTTATACTCCCAAAGGACTAGATTAACGATTACGAATGACCATTTTCTTCCTGGCCCAGCAATTCTAAGTAATGACTTTTATGGACAAAATTATCTTAAGGGAGCTGCATTAAAGCCTACAATTGAGGCTTCTCTATTCTAGAGTGCTCCTCTAAAGCATCTCCTGTGATTGAAATAGTTTGTCTTGAAAGCCTAGCAATTTGTATTGATGATAGCATCCAGCCCTAATGACAGCCTCGGTAAAACTGTGAACCAGTGAATCCAATGCATAAGGAAGATACAAATCTTTCGCTTTAAATTTTAATCATAATTTGGTGATAAACAATTTACACTAAGAAACGTTAAATATTAAATCAACTGGAAAATAACTATTGATTTACACATGAAATGGAAGGTAGATGTAATAGCTAAGCCAAAGAGATATAATAGAAAATGAGAAATAACTGTATTTTCTGTTTACTTGAATTAATTTTAGTTGCCATCTATAAATATATATATTTTTTAGCACAAATAAGCACTAACACTTTCCCAAAGGTAAAGCAGGATTACTTTTAATTTATGTACATGACTTAATATATCCCCCTCAAGGCCTCACTATTTTTCTGCTGAACTTGTGCAGATGTTTGTTATTACATTAACAAACCTCGTCCCAGGGGGACAAGGGAGAGATTTGGTGCTACGAAAGAACCAATGAGGAGCTACTCATTTTCTGCCAAAAATATTAGGAGCAAAATGACAGAAAATCTGATTGGAAATAATATAGTTAAAATTTTGCTGCCTATTTATATTAATTAAGCCATTAGAAGAATCAATAAAGCACCACTAATTAGGAAGGTTTTTCTTCCTTCTAATAGACCCTTCCTCTAAATCATGATAGGCATTGTGTAAAGGAAACCTTTGTTTTGCAAAATAAAAATATTACACAAGAAACAACAAATATGCTTTGAATGATGAACAGGTTTATAATAATGTAATAAAAGATTACACTTCTGAGACTAGAGAAATTCCGACTTTTGAAAGATTAGAGCTTCAGTATAGCTTCAAAGCAGTAATAACTTACATTGCTGATACTGTTCAAATGAGCTCATGAGTATGAAGGAATTTTACCATCTCATGTAAATATATGCACACGTGTCAATGCAACCAAGTAAGGACTGGCTTGCTCCTGAAAGCTATGAAAGCAAGGTAATTGCTTGAGACCATTTAGGCAAGGCAGGGAATGGAGACCAATTAAATTCACCATTCTAATTCTGATGATACAGTTGAAATCAATTAATTTACAATTAACTTTGAAGTTGTTTTCAGTACTTTGTTTGAGGACTACTACAACATAGACTCTCTTTTCTACTTGCTTGCTAGTGCACTGAAAATGTGCATGCTTCTTGTTTAGCTCAGAAAGATGAGTTGTGTTTTGATAGGCTAGGATATAAGCTTTTAAGTTTGATCTAAAAATCTGCTTAACCTCTATGTCTTGGGCCACATGAGTGCTCTCATTTTCTTTTTCCTTTTTCAGCATTACTGATGAGCTGATATGGGGCTATGTTATCAGGTAAGAGCTAGTTTTCTTTCTAGCTAAAAGTTCTTCTATTAGTCATTATTATGCTAGAAGTAGAGATTCCAAGAAGCACTTCACAAAACCTGGTATTTGCCCTTGTAAGTCATTCCCAATTAGAATATAATTTGAAGTTGATTAAAAACACTATGTCTACAAACTTTCAAGGTAACAATCAAAAGAATATGCAATGAGTCAATTTGTGTAGCTTCAGATATTTTAGACGTGCTGTTTGCTGAATAGCTAAAAGTGAGCTATAACCATGGATAGCATTAATCAGTCATGCAAAACTGAGGTCCTTCACTAGTACAGAGCTGTTGCTCAGTGCCTCCTGATAGGCTACACTTGCTGTGGTTTGGATTTGTGTTCTTGATTGCAGTAAGAGACTTATGTCATATCCCCTATTGTTGACTATTTAACAGATGTGATTTAACCTTGATATTTAAGATTACTACAATGATAAAGAAGTTAAAGAAATTAGAGATCTATATTTTTTCTTGCTCAGACAATGTTTATTGAGTATCGTGTTGTCACAAGGCTTCCTTTCATCTACATTCCTGCTGTTTACAAGGGTTTGCTCCAATCTGATTTCAGGTCTTACAGTTATATTGTTCCTTTCAAATTTGTTATAATGACAAATGTCTTTTGATGTAACTGATTTTGTGCATTATTAAAATTATCTCTTCTGTTATATTGTTAATCAACAGTTGTCAAATTGTTACCTACTGCTCCTGTTTCACAAATGGGAAAACTGTGGCATAGAGAAATGATTTGCCTGCAACCATGGCTGCCAAGTCTATGCATTTGATGCTTCTAGGCTCAAGCCTAGTGATGGAGTTAACAAAAACTTCTTTATGGGAACTGGCTGCACTTCTTAGCAGCTGGCAGAACGATAGGAACCTTGGGATCTGCTGTAGGTGGAGTCTGGGCTAGCAGCAGCTGTGGATGGCTAACACTGAGTGAAACTGTGCTAAGACCTCTGAGCTGGTCATTGTGTGCTGGGACAGAGAGGCATTTCAACCAACAAGCCATGCAATAAGGTGTGAAGATAGGAGATGTATTGTAGGACTAACTGAGGACTTGGTGGTAAGTAGGGATGAACTTTTCAAAATGAAAGGAAATTTCATGAGTTACTTTAGTAGGGGCTTATACACGAGAAGGGATTGCTGGCAGGATATAATAGCTTTAGTCTTTAGATGTTTGCTAGATTTGGGATACGTCATGGTTTGGAAAAGATTACTATATTAGCTGCCATTTGATCTAGGTGAAGTTATGCAGACTTGGGCAGGTAGATGTGTCGTGTGGAGCTCAGGATATCTTTTCTATCCTCCAGACCTCTGGAAGAAAATAGAGCAGCTGAAATTACCTGGAGGCAAAAAAAAGTCCCTCAGTTCTTTTCTTCCTAGGATCTTTCCTACTGAGGTGATATTTTAGAGAAACGAAGCATGTATAGCTGAGATCCAGGATGGGTTTGTGGACTGCCAATGCAATGAATATACTGTTATTTTAGGGGCATATATTTTTTGAGCATTATCATACTGTTGTTTCACCAGAGAGACTCAAAGTATAAACCTGAAAGAGTTTCTAGAATCCTATGACTCACCTTTTTTTTAATTCAGAACTACTCATTTCAGTTTCTTGCTGAAGAAAATTACGAATATCTGTTGGGAAGTACATTGGACATCATTTGTCCAAGCTCTCATTCAGAGAAGGACTGTCACCCCCGCCACTAGAAATCAGCTCAGCTCTTGTTTTGTCTGACTGAGCCGTGAAAGCCTTGAAGAATGGAGATTATGGGATGTGGCAGTCTATATAGGAAAGGTCTGTTGGCCACAAAGGATAGCTCTTGAATATTGGGTGCTATATTGGGTTTTATTTTGATTACAAAATAGACTTCTGGATTTCAAAGGATTACAGCAGCATATGCAGATTTTTCTCCCTTTTGCCTGTGCAACCTCTTTTTTTTCTTTCTACTCTCTATCTATTCTGCTGGATTTGGTAATTGCTTGTCACCAAATCATGGCTAAACTCATTGCAGATTATGAAGCTGCTTAAGTGCTAAACAAGCACATCAGGTTCTGCATGCTGAGAGCTAGGCAACTGTATGTGATGTAGCTGTCAAAAGCAAAGTGTGTTGATGCTAGAAGAAATCCTGCTTTGACAGTCTGGGAGTCTATCAAAACTGACTTGATAGGAGCTGACTGTTACAAGTAATTTTGCCGACTTTGAGTAACGTAGGCTGAGTCTGCTTGAAGTCTCCATTAGAGAAGAGCAGATCCCCTGTTAATTCCTGCTGCCACCTGGCTCTGTGTGAATTGTCACACTGAGTTCTTGCAGAATTGTACATCCCGCAGCAAAGAGTCTCTAATATGAATTAAGAGCTAGATCAGCATAGATGAAAGAGTGAGTTAAACTTAGTGCTGAAAACGCTGATGAACTTGCAGTGATCTGTGGAGAATCTGGTATGATATGTGCTCTACACTACATAGGTGGAACTCTTTCTCTTTACAACAGACTCACACTGCCTTTGCAAATCCTGCTGTCCCTACACAGAATAACCACTAATAAGAGACTCAGCAAGGTCCTGTCACTATTGCTGCCTAATTTTAAATACTCTGTAGTCAAGTTTCTGAATGTGGCAAAGCTGTTTCTCATAACCTGTCTACAGTGTGATTGTGGGGTGACTGAACAAAATGGTGGTTTATGATGGAATTGGTTCATGACTGTAT